CCCCCCATACCCCTTACAGCCTACCCATCCCCCCACGTCTCCCCCCATTGCCTGTGCAGCTCCCCATCACCCCCACATCTCCCCCATAGACTGTGCAGCTCCCCATCACCCCACATCTCCCCCACAACCCCCACGCTCATGCAATGCCCTGTCACCTCAGACCACAGAGCTGCTCCCCACTGCAGCCCACAGAACCCCCTCCCCACATGCCCATGCAGCCGCCTGGTGACAGTGCGAGGTGGGACCGGGGGGCCCTGGGCCAGCCTTACCGGGAGTCGTTGAAAGTGTGCCACTCGCCGGACACGGGGTTCCTGCAGTAGGCTGTGTAGTGCCCCCCCATGGTGGTCCCGGAGTGGTTTGAGACGGCATACAGGTTGTAAACAGCATGGTCTGCAAGGGGCGGGCAGAGCAGTTAGCGAGGGCAGGGTCCATCCGGACCCCCGCTGCTGGAATTCCCTGCCCCGCGGGTGCTGTGCCCGGGGGACCCCAGGCAAGACCCCCAGGACTGAGCAGGAGACTGTGGGGAGCCAGGACACTGGGGTTCTGTGCGCAGCGCGGGGAGGGAGGAGCAGGTGACCGGGGCAGCCAGGACGACTCCGTTCCGTTCATAGCTCTGCCACGGGCTTAGTGTGTGGTGGGTGAATCGCTTCCCCCACCCCCGTGCCTCAGTTTCCTCCCCTGAAGCCCACGGCAGATGATCCCGACCCGCAGCCTGCGAGGTCTCTGTGCTAGGGCAGCGGGTGAGGTGGCTGCCGCCCGGCGAAACCTACGAGCTGAAGCCTCTACTGGGGATTACAGGGCCGGACTGCTGGGCGGATGTGGGTCACTGGGAGGAGGTGGGCGGGAGGGGGAGGCCATGGCAGAGAAGCCCCGAGGCCGCTGGGCATCTGTTCTGTAGGCAGCAGCCGTCCCCCTGCGCGCTGTGGCCGAAGAAGAAATCGGCGCGGGCGCGTCTGTGGGGAAGGGCCGGGCCAGGCAGCGCGGCGCACTGGCTAGCGACGGGGGTGCTCGGTGACACGCCCAGGTGCCCCGCGGGAGGGGTGTGCCGCTGCCCTGCCGGCTTGTCGCCCATGCCAGCGCTCCCCGCCCCCGTCCCAGGGTGCTCACTGCAGCTTTGGGCGGCAAACTCCCGCAGGGCCAGGGCCTTCA